CCTTGCCAATGGGTTTTTTCTCAAGTCTAACTTCAGTCATCTCTGCTGACATTCAGTCATTACTCTCTGCTATGGCAGGGAAGTTTCTTGCATGTTTCATCCATTTATTTCCTCAACAAACTTTTCTTGAGTATCCACCATATTTGAGATTCTTGGGTATACCAAGACAGCCTGGGCCCTGCCCACAGCTTGCAGTTGATTTAAATGCAGGAAACGTGGCCTTCACCACCGGATTTTTAAGGCACACAAAGCCAAGCCCACTGGCTGGTATACAGTAGGTATTCAATAAATCCTGTGTCCCCTTCTCAGGGCTGCATGATGTGGAAAACAACTGGAAATTTTCTAAAACCCTTTCCAGGTGGACAAGAGTGCCAACAGGAGTGGGTGGAGATGGTGGTTTCTATCTTGCTTCAGAATGTCATGATTTGTTTTGGATGTTCCAAATGTCAGGTTGGAGATCATACAAAGGAGAGGGGCTTATTCTAACCAGATCAGGGCTAGAGGCAACCCAGGACACCGTCTCCCTGGTACACAGCCCCAGACAGTTTGGAAACAAACACAAGCTCATCCAGAGGAGGGAGACTGACAAAAGCAAAACAAACAAAGGCCAAGAGATGGAAAACTCACGAGGTGGGGCAGGGTGGAAAGGCGGGGAGCAGGGAGAGAGATGGGTGGGGGCTGTGAGGGAGCTTAGGGAAGGGAATGGTCCTGGGTGTGTGTGTGTGAGAGAGAGAGAGAGAGAGAGAGAAGCTGAAACCAGTTCCCTTCAACCAGTCCAAGAATCATCATGGCAATGGGGAAGGCGAGTGCTGCTGATTCCAAGCCAACACAAGCCTCCAGGGCTCAGCGGCAGGAATGGTCTCAGATGCATGGGGTCATGTTCTAAAGTAAAAAATCCAAATTGCGGGGCGCCTGGGTGGCTCAGTGGGTTAAAGCCTCTGCCTTCAGCTCAGGTCATGATCTCAGGGTCCTGGGATCGAGCCCCGCATCTGGCTCTCTGCTCAGCAGGAAGCCTGCTTCCTCCTCTCTCTCTCTGTCTGCCTCTCTGTCTACTTGTGATTTCTATCAAATAAATAAATAAAATCTTAAAAAAAAAATCCAAATTGGGCTCTTTAAGTCACAAACTCCTTACACACTCCTGGTTTTGTTGGCAATCAGCGTTTAATGAAATGAATTAATCAGAAACAACAGTGAACCACATTCCTCCTCCATGTCCCTCTCACATACACACATACACTTATCCAAAAACCCCTTCCCTTTGTTGGGGGTACTAACAGCTCATTGGATTCTTGGCACTTTCCAGAAGCAGGGCCCAAACCTGTGAGAGTTCTACTTGCCACCCCTCCCCAAACTGTCCCCCATGAGAGTGGCACTAGTGACAGAGGGTTGATGGGGTTGCTTTCACAAGACCAAGGCAGCTGGGGCTCCCATGTGAGGTGGCTCCAAATGAACCACCATCTGGTCTTCTCTGCCATCAGCCGCCTGCTGAAGCTCTTGGCCCAGAAGGGGTTTGTCAGCAAGGAGACTGCTTCTTCATGAAAAAGTGTCTGCAGCATGAGCCCCCCTGAGCTCCCAAATCCCAGCACCCAAACTTGTCCTTCCCTAGTGCTGGCTGGTTTATGGGGTCTGCCTTGGGTATTAGGTTGGAGCTAAACAAAACTGTAAGTCTTTGTCTCCTTCCTGTCTCTCCATTCCCAGCTACCCAGGGATCTCACACTATCCCCCATTACCCTAGTCCAGGGTTGACTCATCCATTAGCATAGTAGGCACAGGGCCTAGAGTCCACATTATAAAAATGTTTTAATTTCCTTTAAAATCAGAAGGAAAAAACAAGCTTATAAGTGGAAGTGAACATTTTAGTATTTAGCAGTAATATTAACCTTTATACCAACACAATCATAGAACAATTTAAAAAAAATATTTTTTTTTCGTTTGAGAGAGAGAGAATGAGCAGGGGGAGGGGCAGAGGGAGAGGGACAAGCAGACTCCCTGCTGAGTGTGATCCCAGGATCTGGAGATCATAACCTGAGCCAAAGTCAGATGTTTAACCGACTGAACCACCCAGGCACCCCATAAAATATAATTTTAGATATTTTTTATTGAGGAAGGCAAAAGGGCCCGTGAAGTCATGAAGTCATAATGTAGTTCTGCCCTCATCTCCCTTTCTGCTCATTTCAACCCTCGAGACTCCAGGGATTTCCTTCTGCCATATTAAAATATACCTGTCCAATGGCCCTCCACTAGCTTAGGAGGTCCTGGAGGATAGGACCATTCTTCATTCATAATGTCCCTGCCCTCCCCATATGCTCAATGCCTGCCCCGCACTCACATAATGAATTGCGTTGACTCTGGGGGAGGCAGAAGAAGGACAGAAACCTCAGAAAAAAAGAAAGGCTAGGTTTGTTTGTTTAAGATTTTATTTATTTATTTGACAGACAGATCACAAGCAGGCAGAGAGGCAGGCAGAGAGAGAGGGGGGAGCAGGCTCCCTGCTGAGCAGAGAGCCTGATGCGGGGCTGGATCCCAAGACCCTGGGATCATGACCTGAGCCGAAGGCAGAGGCTTTAACCCACTGAGCCACCCAGGTGTCCCAAAAGGCTAGTTTTTAAAGAAAGATTGCTTGTGAATTTCTGGAAACGGTGAACATTTCATGTCTATGTAGTCAGACTTTGTCCACATCCCCTGTGCTGAACTCTACTGAAACTGTTCCCACCAAATTCACCAGTCATCTCCAACTCGGTAAATCCAAAGGATACCTCTCAGGTATAATCTTGACAATTCCGAAGCATTTGACAGAGCGCATCAAGACTTCCCTTTTGGCTTCCATGACACTCTGCTGTCTTGGTTTCCTCCCATTTCCCTGGACATTGCTGCTAGGTCTCCTTTGCATTCTCATTCCCTCTACTGGGCCATTAAAAACTAAACTCACCAGCTATTTGCTCTTTGCTGAGCCCTACTGTGTCAGTCCTGTTAATCCTCAAAACCATGCTCAATCTAAATCTGCAACCACCAGCCAGAGGAGTCTTCCTGGAAAGCAAACCTGATCCTATCATTTCCTTGCTTAAAACCTAGTGGCTCTCCCTCAGTTCTGATGGTCTTGCATGACCTGGCCCCTGCATACCTCTCCAGCCCCACTGCTCACCACTGTATGGCCCTCCTGCTTTTAACTTCTCCATCGAGAACTCTGGGTCTTTACATGTGCTGTTCCCACCGCCTGAAACACTCTTCCTCCCCTTCTTAGCCTAACACGCATGGCTCTGTCGGGTTTCAGTTGGACATCACCTTTGCCAGGAGACCCTGGGGGCCTTCGAGGATACTGGTTATGACAGTCACACTAGAACCTGCCCAGCGCAGCTCCCAGCTCTGTGCCACTTCCTATGACCACGTAGCCATGGGCAAGCTAGGAAACTCTGGGACTTCAATTTTTCATCTGGTGTCAGGATTAAACAAATCAGTACCCGTAGGTGCTCTGCAGTGCCAAACATGTCATCTCCATATTTCCTGACCCCAGATGAAGGTGAGGCTCCTGGCCAAGTATTTCCCAAAACTCCTTTGTAATATCATATAATCCAACCTCACTCCTGGGAATGCCTGCCCATACCCAATCTGGCCAGACCTCGGCTCCAGGAGGGCGGGGCATTTTGACCTTGATCCTCCTCCTATTTCTAGTGCCCATCACACAGCAGATGCTCAGATTTGTTCAATCAGTGACCAGAAATCAAACACCTACTAGATAACCTGGGGATACATGCTGTCCAGCAAACTGCTACCTTGAACAGGGAAGGGAGGAGAGGATAATATTTTTAGCAACAAGGCCTACAGGCTCTCACTGAGGCTAAAAGCAGTCACAAAGCTCAGTAATTAGGAAAATACCTTTATTACTTTTGAAATGTTGCCATACTCAATGTAAAAACCATGATAGTGGCTTTTTCACAACTTCACAGATTATAGAAAGCTGACTTTCCACCATCTTTATAGAAATCTACCCCCCAGATCAGATGGGGCTCCATGATGGCTGAAACAGGGCAGGAAGGAAGGGCAGAGAATCAGCAAGGACAACTGCAGCTCCCGTGGGCAGCCAGAGGCTTCCTCGGCACTTTTAAAGCCCAGGCTGAGTCCCAAAGACCTGCAACCCCTCTAAGGAAGGCTCAGTCCATGCACCTTTGTGGCAGACTGAGGCAGGCCTCTCTCCTGAAGGCCGGCAGCCCACAGAAGGCCTGCGACGTGGCACTTGTGGCTGGGAGGCCACCGTCAAGGCAGCTTCGTGAGAACGAGAAGAGGGGGCAGGCCTGCGGCTCTCTAAAACATGGCCAGGAAAGAGACTACAGGCACTGGCCAAAGAGTGCTCTAGGTTTAGAAATCTCCCTTTTACTCAGTTCCCGAAGATGAATTTGTCAAATAGCTATTAAAAAAAGAAAAGAAAAGAAAAGAAAAGAAAAGAAAAGAAAAAAGAAAAGAAAAACAAAAAAACACAAACGTGTTTCCATTTCAGCTGTAATCAGCAGTTGGTAATTTTTAGAAAAAGATGACATGAGTTGCTCATTGTCAAGTTTGTCTTTTTTATCAAGTCTCTGGCTCCTTCCTTTCTCTTCCATGGTTGGGTCAGAGGGGTGACAACTGTAGCAGAAGGCTGTTTGTGGATTTGAGAAAACTGCGAAAATGTTTTGCACTCACGTACAAAGGCTGATGGAATTCAGAAACGATCCCACCGATTTTTATGAGAAACATGACTGTTCCTCTTGGGTGTCTCAAGTCAAAACAAGGCAACCGCCTCGTGATTTATAGTCCCCACTACACATATTCCGCCTTCCAGAAGGCATTAGAGAAAGGGCCAAGGTCTGCCAGGAGCGATTGTAAACATACCACTGACAGCTTGGACACTTTGTTTTTAAATGCAGCAGGATTTTTTCCTTTGGCCCTGGCGGAAAAGCCAACTCCCTAGGATTGTTTAGGAAGGAGCAGACAGGACTCCCCTGAAACCTCAGAGTGAGGAGCCTCACTGACCAGAGTGTGGCCGGGAGCATTGTCAAAGGCAATCAATACATTTATGGTGTATGAAAATTGTCCTGTGGTCCCCAGCTGGCCCCCAGACTCCACCCGGTTGGACATGGGGCAAGGGAGATACAGAACAGATTATATCGTAAGGCACGTGTTTGAGGTGGCCCCCACACCAGGCCCCAAGGGATTATCTCTTTGCACGATTCCAAAAGTGATGGAAAGCTGAGGAATTGATGGCACTCACAATAAGCAGCAGCAGCAGATACAGGGATATCATGACCATAAACCAATGGCTGGAAAACCAGGACAGCTGGCTGGAAGCCCTGCATAAGGGGGGAAAAAAGGATGTTGGCAAGAAGAGAAAAACATTTTTTTTTTAAGTGTATGCAACAACTTCTGGCTCAAAGAAGATGAAATGATGAATTTCATCCTCTGGGTAAGCCATGAAATGAAGCTTCGTGCATGCTACTTTGCTCAAAAACTCTGGGGCTATTTGCCCTGGCACAGACACATCTTTCACCAGAACATTTTCTAAATGTACAAAGACAGCTATGCAATGAGCTCATCCTGATCATCTCTCTTATGGCTCCTCTTGTACCTTTTATGACCTGTCTTTTCTTTGGTGAGACTTTGGGATCTAGAAGGTTCTTGCTCAAGGTGTCTGCCCAGTGGGCAGCAGGTGGCAGGTTACTTAGCAAAAGTCTCTTCACGGTGACACATGTACAGATATCAGTCAGAGCTGGGAGAGCCCTCTTTGGCCCACCAGGAGATGATCTAAAGCATCCGAGTGTACACTAAGAGACACTCCAGGGAGAAGTGGGAGAGGAATGGAATTTTCAAGTAGAAAAAGCCAGATGGTTTTAAACCAAAGAATAATGTTCCTCAGACTCAGAAACCCTATCCAAATTTCCCCAAATGTGGGGGATGGCCATGGGAGGGGAGGATTTTACTGGTTTATGAAGTCTTGAAGCGTGGAAACCACTGGAGTGGGGTGTATTAAAGGTGACCCCCTTTCCTATCTTACCTGCTTCTCTACTGCTTGTCCCCATCAGAAGCCCTGCCACAGACCCCAACAAGGCAACAGGATCTTAAAGCAACCCTTGACCCTAGAGATCCCCGCACATCCACCAACTACCACAATGCTGAGATGGGATGAGGCATCGGCCATGGCTATGAGGGGCTGAAAGGTCTCATCTGCTGTCGAATTCAACTCCCATTTTAGAGATAAAGAGGAAGCAGCTCAGGTGCAGAGAGCAGCAGGTGGTGGGTTCATACCACTGCAGGGAGTGACCAAGCAGGGCGCACACGTTCCTAGCTGGCGTCCAAGCACCACCCAGCCTCTCAGCTTCACCTCAGTCAGTGGGTGCCAGACCGCAATCGGGAGCCCGGGTGGTGAGGGGGCCTCATGCTCTGGGGCAGCCAATTTGGTTTCATTTAGTCCCTCATGTCATTTGTGTTTACAAGTCTCTACCTTCTTCACTAGGAACACAAAGTCCCTCTTAGGGCCAGGACCCCATCTCCTCAGACCCGTCTTCCTCACCCCTCGTGTTTTATATACTTCACACACTGCTCAAGTCTAAGGCCGGGGAGCAAGGGACGCTGGCAGCAGAGAACCCGCCACTCTGAATGCAGCTTTGCGGTGCTGCCCTGGGCCTCTTGCGGGGACCGCCCGCCTTACCTGCTGGGCTGCCTCTGTGAGTACACCAGCAGGTACTTCACTCGCAGGAGCTGGTTATTCGTGACCACAAAGTACTTTGGGGGGACGTCTCCCCCTTCGCTGTGTTTGATTCTTGCTCTCCTGCGATCTATCTCCTTGGAATCTGAACAAGGAGAATGAAGCACAGCTTTGCTGGGGGACATTCAGGAATAAGAGAAGGAAATTATGAACAGAAACAGGTCAAGCCTCCGTCACGCGGGTGGAGAAGCCCCAGCAGGCTGAGGAAGGGTCTGGGTGTACAGAGGAGCACCAAAAAAAACAGGAGAATCTGACAAACGAGATAAGAGGGGAAAAACAAAACAAAACAAAACCCAGGCAAATAATAAGGGATACAAGGGGGGGGAAATGGAGTTGGGAAAGCAGAGGGGAGAAGCGGACTGATGGCCATCACAAAAAAATGATCTGAGCTTAGGTACAGGACTTGACCTAAAATGAGTCCCTTAGCAGGCATTTTAAATTAACCATCCAGATTTTCGAGCTTCTTAGAACTCTCACGTTCCATCCTTTGTACCAAGACTTGTTTAAAAAACAAAACCAAAACCCCCAAACTTTTTAATAACATGATGAAGCTTGATAAAAACAAACAAAGCTATGTGACAGCAGACACTGCAAGGTTTTGTTCTGTTGTTTAAGGTCAGAGTTTGCAAACTTCCTAAGAGTTATAAACGCAGATATTCATGCTGCCTGCTTTGGAAGTGTGGCGTCAGACCTGGGCCCATTCCTCAGGATTCCAGTTGTTTTACATTAGAGGCCAGGAACAGACAGTTTTCTCAGTGGAACCAACCAATCAGTTCTGGAGACTAGAGTAAGAGTTCTGGGACTCTTTTACCACTAAGGGCAAAACAGCAGAGCACACAAGGCAGAGACTCGAAGGAATGGATCAGACTGGAGGTGGCTAGCTAGTCATCCGCTCCCCAGAGAGCCCAGGATTTACTCCCCACAGCTTCGGGTGCCTCTCACGTCCTCTGGGCGCCTACCCAGGCACACACCAAAGTAGCCTGGAGGGACGGGTCTGGACATGTGTCTTTAGCTTCAGTTGACCAAATACCTACTGAATGCCAAGTACGTCCCAGGTTCTCTGCAGATACCAGGTGCCCAAGAGTGACTGAAACCCAGTTTCTGCCTTCAAAGAGCCCACATTCTGGCCTCACACCTTTCCTTTTATCTACTTTTTAAATTATTTATTTATTTGCAAGAGAGAGAGAGAGCTCAGAGTGGGAGGGAGAAGCAGACTCCCCACCAAGTGGAGAGCCCGATGTGGGGCTCGATCCCAGGACCCCGAGATCATGACCCAAGCCAAAGGCAGACACTTAACCGACTGAACCACCCAGGTGTCCCTTACCTATTGAAGCTCCCGTCTACACCAGAGCTTTCCCTGAGCGCTTGGACATACTATGATTGTACCTTCCTCTCAGCTGCCCCTGTGGACCTCATCAGCCCCCTCCCCTGGTACGCTCTGCCCACCACCTTGTAGTAAGTGTATCTTTTTTATCACGTGTCCGCAAGGAGACTGCTCACTCTGTGAAGGCAAGCTCCTGTCCCACGTTGCTTTGGACCCAGCCCATTCCTTGGCAGGCAATGTGTGTTCCACTCAACAGATGAGCCAACACTAAGAGCCTGTATGTTTAATAGGCCTGCAGCCCGGGCCCAGGCCAAGCGCTCACTCACCCTTCTTCTTCATTTGGCACTTGACATCTGGATGATCAATGACTTCACACACAGCCACGCAGCTGAGGATGGGGCCAAGGAGGCTGCGCTGCCATCCCAGGCCGTGGGGGCTATAAATGAGGGCCAGGCTCAAGTCACTGGTGAGGTAGGTCCCTTCCCCAAACAAGGACGTCTGGAATGGCAGAGGTTAACAAAGAAACAGGGCTGAGTGAATGTAAAGTTGGCACAGCAAGATGACATAGGTCTTTCTTCAATAAAACTGTAAACAACAAATTCTTAAGCCTCTTTTTCCCCCGGGAAAAGGTATATAATGTCAGCTCATTCTAAGACATCATCTCAGAGTTGTAGTTAAACACATTCCCATCTGACGACAGTTTAACTTGATTGTGGTTGTGCCCGCCTAGCCTGGCAAATTAGTGGTCAAGTTTGAATGAGAAAAACATAGATATAAGAGACCCGACAACATAGATATAAGAGACCCGACAGACCTGAGTTTGAATCCTGACTGTACCTCCAATGAGCTGACAAGTTATAGAAACTCTCTGAGTCTCAGTTTCTACGTCTACAAAATGTTGATAAGTGCATCTCCTTCACAACATCACAGAGGAGGATTCAATGAGATAATGTACATAACACTGAGCCGGACTCCGGCACATGAAAGGAGAGGGCATGTGTGTCACAGTATATCAGTCATTCCTGTTACACGAATGCATTTAGCATGGTCACACTGACAGCCTCCAGAAGCCAAGTCATGCACTTATGAACAGGGAGGAGGATCACACTTGAGGGTAGAAGGGACCTAAGTTGTCATGTGGAAAAGAAATGAATCTCAGACCAGAAACTGTTACCATATAAGGCAGGCCTGTATTAGGGGCAGGGTAAGTATTACTCTTTGTATTGGTGTCAACCAATAAAATGTCCAAAATCCAGGAGGCAGGTCCCTAGTGGTAGGGGCTAACTTGATGTCCTCCATGAGGAAGCATGTCAGGTGAGAGAGAATGAGCCCAGGTGATATACCCATAGGTTGAGGCTACAGCAGGTATAGCAAACTCATCTTTTGCCCACAGTAGACCACAGCAAAGGGTCAATAATGGCCATGATGGCCAGCAGAACAGTACCAGTCATGGCACTCAGTCATCCTGACTCAGAATCCTTCTCATTTCAGGTAGCTGCTACCAATGGATGGACTTTGAAACTGAAGTTGGAATTCAATTGCTATCTTCGGGCTGCAGTGTCTGCATTTGTTGAGTGAACTCAAACTGCTCACTGAACATCCCAAGCTTGGGAACTGAGAGATGTCTTCTTCAGGGGCCCTAGGCTTCCACAGTTCTAAGCTGGTTCAGTGAAGCTTAGGGGGAATGAAACTCGAGCCTTTGCTTTACCTTTGGGAAGCCCCTTGCCAACTTAGGCACTGTCCCCATGTCTCAGAAGCTGACACAGACCTTCTCCAAGGACACTGGATGTCATCTGCTCTGAATCCACACCCACTCTCAGCTCTGGCTATAATATATACACAGATGAAACCCCCCTCAACTCAAGAACCTCAAGCAAGACTGCTCTGACCAGAGAAACAAGAGTGGGAAAGGTCGGGTATCTGTACTGTGAAAATAATCTCACAGCTTCAACTGGCAAGTACGCTCCCTCAACCAAGCCCCTCACTGGAAACCCAGATAGAAGTGGCCAATGGAGCATCCGCTTTACCAATGGACTCTGACGAGATGCCTCTATGCAGCGACTCCCCAGACAGTGAATGAAGTGAAGGTTTGCTGTACAAGCCTGTAATCTGCAGGCAGCTTCTCCAGGCCAGCTCTGCCATGAAGCAGAGGCCCCCTGGATTCTGGTAGCCTGGCCATAAAAATAAGCTGAGAGCCAGTATAAACAAGCCCGTCATCCTACGCAAAACCCAACTGCACTAATCAGCTACAGCAGTGCTGGAAAAGTCTCTCTAGCCCCGGGGCTGCATCAGCCACAGCTGAGCCCATGGCTCACAGAATCAGACCCTCTGATGAGGCAGAAGGCCGCAACCCTCCAATTACCCCAGATTCCCTCTCCATCCGCCTCTGAAAGCAGCCCTTGCTTTCTTGGAGTCTAGTACGGGAAGAGCCTTTTGCATATATGAACTGTTTGAATCCTCTCAGCACACCAGAAGGTGGGTAATGACATCCTATTTTACAAATGGGGACGCTGAGGTTCAGAGGGGTTAATGAAATTTGCCCAAGATACAGAGCTGCTAAAGTGGTCTTTTCTGGCTCCTAGGAGGCTCTCCTCCTAGGCAAGTGCTTCTCAAATTTTTACGTGCCTACGAGTCACCTGGTGAGCTTGTTAAAGTGATCCCATATCAGGTGATCTTGGGTGTGGCTGAGATTCCACAAGTCCAACAAGTTCTCAAGTGATGTGGATGTGGCTGGGCCAGGGACCACGCTGAGTCACAAAGATTGCCTATACCCTGGAATCACCAGACTTTTAGAGCATATTGGTGTCTGGGCCCCATACCCAGAGATCCTGATTTAATTGGTTTGGGATGCAGCCAAACACTGGGATTTTTAAAAGCTCCCCAAATGATTCCAAATGGGCAGTCAAGGTTGGGTACCATCTTCAAATCAATACTTCTCAAACTGTAATCAGTACAGGAATCACCCAGAGAGCTTATTAAAAATCAGATTCTAATTCAGAAGGTCTAGGGTGGGCTCAAGATTCTGCATCTTCACAGGCTCCCAGGTGCTGGTGTTACTACTGGTCTACAGACTATACTAGGAGGGGCAAGGCCTTAGTGAACCCCTCCCCCCCACCCTCTACCAGCAAATTCCCCAGGGTTCTGACCCCCACGTCAGGAGGCTTAGGCCCCACCTTGTTCAGGTGGCAATGCAGCCCATTGTGGATGATGGAATGGAAGTTTTCGAGGCGGCTCCCGTGGAAGGCGTAGATTAGGTCCCGTTCTCCTTTGGTCTCATAAAATTTGGCGTTCGCTGGGTTGGAGTATTCAATTTCAAACAGGAAGTCCGGCACGGGGACAGGCGTGTGAGGGGCACCAGTCAGCTTTTGGATCTTTTCGAACTTGAAAACATGTAGGAAGTGGCAGTTTTATTTGGGAACCTGGTAAGATGTGCTGCCAAAATGGCGTCCTACAGCTTTGGGCTTACCTCCTACGGGCTCTGCTCATGAGAACAACTAGTTGCATGAGAATACAGACAACAGTTTATAAATAAGCTCAGAGCTTACAGCTCAAGGCTGCTTCCCTCTAATACTATTTTTCCCTACACCAAGCTGCAAAGCATGAACTCTTTCTTCTAACTAAAGACTACCTCTAATTTTCATAACACTATCACATCCATTTCCTGCATTCCATCTTTACAATAATCTCAGGAGGTAGAAAGGTGGGATCAAGTGCAAGAATGGCCAAAAATGTTTCCTCCCATCCTTGTCCATTTGCCCCTCTGTAACTGACTTTGCAGGTGGGAACTCCAGAACTCCACCAAGAGGTGACATCTATTTCTCTGCCCCTTGAATCTGGACTTGGCCATGTGACTTGCTCTGACCCTGGCCAAATATAGCAAGCAGAAACTTGAAAAGGGCCTGCTGCTGTGAACCCTTCACTGCCATGGGGACAACCCCTGCTAGCCTTCAGTAGGATGAGGGCCTCACAGAGGAGGCCCCCACCACAGCAGCCATTCCAGCTCAAGACCTAGACCTGTGAGGCTACCCTAGATCATCCAGCCCCATCCAGAAGAACAACCCAACTAATCCACTGAATCTTGAGAAACAATCAATGTTGTTTTAAGCCGCTAGGTTTTGGGAATGGTTTGTTATGCAACAAAACCAAATTGATACAGAAGAGTAAGCTCTTCCTGACGGGCAGTGATCCTTCTCAGGGCAGGGACCACATCATTTGGGTAATTTCTAAACAGTAAGTCATAGACCAAAACCAGTCTGTGGCAAAGTTTTCTCTGGGTTGTGATTAAATGAGAAAACTAAGGACAAAGTAACAAATACGTTTATATTGCTGTCAGGTTGCCATGAGCCTGTCTTTGTCATTTTTTTGAGGCCATCCTCCTTTTTTGTACTAAAATATATTTTTATAAAGTGATGAGACATAGCAGCCTAATGTCCTTACTTGAGCTATAAAATAAAAATAAAAAGCTAATAATCCTCACTCCATATGTGGAGTGCCAACATTCCACTCCACATTTTAAAGAAATTTAACTGACCCATAATTAAAAGTGAAGGAACCACTGTCTTATCTACTTTAGCTCCAGTACCCAACATCTAGTAGATGCTTGAAGAGGATAAATAAAGGAATGAATAAATCTCAACTTAGCAGACGACAGAAGTGAAACGGAGATATCTTCTCTGAGTCAGCAACCCAGCCCAGACTTGATTATGGATCTCCTGACTACCACTCCAGGGCTCAGGGCTCTCTGTTACTGACCCTTTACCAACACAGGTGGACACCCCTAGACACCAGAATCTGAAACACCCAATTCTCTGCCACTTGAAGAGGGTTTTTGTCTTTGGCAGGAGCTTGTAAAAATTAAATGCTCTTAAATGGAAACTGATGAAGTAAAGAACAACACAGATAAACCCCTGCTTCTGTTCTGAGGCACGAGCACAAGGCCAGAGGGTCTGCCGTCCCATGCTCCGGTCCTTGTCCTCCCAGCCTGACCCTGGGAGATCCTGGCCAGGCAAGGGAAACCAGATTACGGAATGTCTAGTCTGTGCCACAAACTATACTGGGGGTGCCATACATTCTACCATAGCTCCCCTCTGTGGTAACTATTAATATTCTCAATGTTCAAATGGGGAAAAGGAGACTGAATGTTAGATGGAAGTGGGATTTGACCCCAGTGCCTGAAGTGTTTCATGAACCAGGTTCTGCCTTTGTGTTTCCTGACAACTGGATGAGGCCAGTGTTTCTTAAGGTGTGGTCAAGGGTCCACCGTTGTGATACCCAACATTTCCTGAGCCCTTAGCATGTACCCTAAGGCATTCTTCTAGCTGGGAATATTCATGTCATTCTCACAGCCAGTTCCCTAATGGAAGTATACTATTTATAGATGAGGAGACGGAGATACTGAGATGTACCCGGTGGCCTGCTCCAGGTTCACCGTAACGGGGAGAACGCTGCTTTGCACTGCCAGTGTGCAAGTTCCTGAGCCCATTCCAGACACAGAATCAGCATCTCTCAGGGCAAGGTCCAGGAAGCTGCATTTTCAGCAAGCTTCCCAGGCCTTTCTGGTGCAGGAGGAGGTCCCAGAGCCCTTCAGCCCTAGGGATCTGCTGTCCTATAGACCAAAGTCTCACCTCTGACTTCCCTGCACTGTGGATTGTCAGGACCTTTGAGGATAAAATCCAGCTCACCAGATCCCTGGCCCGTACGTCTTTGTCTCCAGAAGACTGGAGAAGTTCTTTCAGGTTGGGTAACTTGCTGGCATCTGCAAGCTGAAATGAGGAAAAAAACCTCCATTAGCAAGGATGCTGAACAAAATGATAACGGGGTGCCCTCTCGTGGTAGAGTAGGCAAACTGCACTTCTTTCGTGTTTCAAGGAATTCCCTAAGAGGGAAAGAAAGGTACAGCTCTGGGACCCCCCTTCCAAATACCAACCTCCAAAAGTTCTGAACACTGAAACATAGTCTCATAACCCATTTGGTACAAAACCTGACCTGAGCTGCTTTGAGGTTAGTTTAGTTTAATCTTTACTTTTCCCACTTCCTGTTGCTGTTGATGGGATACATTTGGCTGCAGGAATATTAATGTCTGCTTATGGGATACCGCCACCTCCCAGGAGGTGTTACCAAATACACGGTATATCCAAGTGTGGGTAGAGGGTGAACAAAGCCTTTTCCCTTCAGCATGAGTTAACTCCCTGTTAACATGTCTCTTGGAGTGTGGCAACTCCATACACAAGCAGGCAATACTGCTTTGGAAAAAATGACCCAGAATGGTAAACTATACCTGGACTGGAAGAATCTATGAGTGGGGAATCCATGGCTTTGGGCTTCCCTGAGTGTGAGTGTGGTGACTTCTTTGAGGACCCCAGCAGCTATGTCTGTGGTGTTCTCACAAAAGAGGCCAGCCTCTGGGGCACATGGGGCTTCATTGAGGCGCCCACCCACTCATCTCCTCAGTCATCTCCTCACTCCCCACTGCTCCCACGTTGGGTTGCTGAGAAGATGAAAGAAGGTCCCAGGTCTATCTCTACACGTCCATTTCTTTTCCTTTCCATTTTTCTAGAAAGTTGGCTGTTGCTGACCTTGGGGGTTTTATTTCCTAACTCGGCAAATGAAAATCAGAAACATTTCGGGGCTACTTTATTCCTATCTCTATTTCCAAAGAGTTGATCACTAGCCTTAAACCTCTTTTATTTATTTATTTATTTATTTATTTATTTATTTGACAGACAGAGATCACAGTAGGCAGAGAAGCAGGCAGAGAGAGAGGAGGCAGCAGGCTCCCTGCTGAGCTGAGAGCCTGATGCGGGGCTAGATCCGAGGACTCTCGGATCATGACCTGAGCCGAAGGCAGAGGCTTTAACCCACTGAGCTACCCAGGTGCCCCTAGCCTTGAACTTCTAATAGAACCCTCTCTACATGCCTTGTGGAGCGTCAGTGAGGATCCAGTTAAAAACCATGGATGATGGTGCCTGGGTGGCTCAGTCGGAGGATATTAAGTACTCCAATGTTAGTGGGACTGTCATGATGGTTGTCATTATGAACTGTAGGAGGTTCCATGTGCCTGGGGCGTGGGGGAAGGGTGGCCAAGAGGAGTGAGAAGGTAACATTAGTCTGTGAATGACCTTGACCCACCTTGGGGACTCTTGGCTTTGTTCTATAGACTGTAGGGAGCCACTGAGGGTACCCTCCAGTGGCCGTCCCCACTCCCTGCTGCCTGCACAGAGAACACCCCCCAGCAGCCTGTGGCCTCTGTCCTTCTTTTCTTCTCCTGGTCCATCCTTGTTATCACAGAGACAGAGCTGAGTATTCTCTCCCACAATGACTGTCCTCATCACTCCTATTCTTCAGTCCCACCTGTGAGCCACAAACCCTTGTCAATAGTCCAGACCTGGGCACAGGGAGCCTGCAAAAGGCCAGTCAGCTAAGCCAGGCCCCTTTTAGGGGTTCAGTCTGGGAAAGTGGGAAAGAACCCTCCTGGCTCTGGGTGGGACCCAGGCCCCTCTCAGACCTCCTTGGAGCCAGCCTTCTTCCAGAGCTCCAGCCCTCTCACTGCTGCCTGTCCAGACAGGGCCCCTATGTGTCCTGCCAGGCTGCCTGCTTTATCCCTACTCTTTAACCCCTCAACTGACCTCCCTTAAGTCCCATTTCACTTTCACGCTACTCTGAAAAATAAATCTGATCCAACAAGTTAATAGAATTCTTCCTCCTGAATAAAACCTGTCTGCACTTGAGCAGGGCCTTTTGGGAGCCAGGCATACAAGCAGGGTTGCCAGATAAACTACTGTCTCACCAGTTAAATTTGAATTTCAGATAAATAACAAAATTCATTCTTTCAGTGTAAGTATAACCCATACAATATTTGGGGGCATACTTGCACTTTCAAAATTATCTGTTGCTTATCTGAAATTCAAATTTAACTAGGTGGCTCATACATAGTTTGCCAAAGCTAACAACACTTCCTTTAACAAGGCCCTTGGACATCTGGTCTGACCTGGCCTCTCTTCCTAACAGCGCCTCTTACCACAAACTTCCCACCCGCTGCCCCCATGCTATTCCCTCACCTGCCCTGTGTCTTTCCTTTATTATGCTTCTGCAGCTGCCCAGCATAACATTTCATGGGGGCTTCAAGGCCAGCCTAAATTCACCTCCCTGTCCTTGACCACCCAGGATCTCTGTGTTCCCCCGTCCTCTAGGCAAAATCCCATGTTGGTACTTGACTCTCTGGAGTCACCTCAAATCCGGTTGGGACAAGCACTTCCTGAGGGCCAACCACATCTCATGTCTCCTGGAGACCCAGCAACTGGCTTAGAACTTGGCACGAGGTTCAGAACAAGACAGTAACAGCTACTATTTATTCAGGCCTTACCATATACCAGGCGCCATGCTAAATGCCAGGCATGCATCATCATTTTAGCCTCCACACAGCCTGTGTTAAAGGGGGAGGGAACAGGTCTGGAGAAGTTCAGCTCTTTCCCAGGGTCACACTGCTATTCAGTGGTAGGGCAGAGACATGAAGCCGGGTGGCCTGACTTCAGAGTCCATTCTCTGGGATCCTCTCCCAACAAATCAATGGAGAAATGTATTTATTTGTTTGTTTTAAAGGTTTAAGTAATCTCTACACCCAACGTGGGGTTTGAACCCACAACCCCAAGATTAAGAGTTGCATGCTCCACAGACTGAGTCAACCAGGCACCCTTCAATGGAGAAATTTTTAATGGATTCAGTATTTTAGCCCCAAGGAGCAATTCTGACAAAACTTTAAGAGGGTGCTTGGGAAGCTTATCTGGTATGTTACTGGAGACACCCCCCACCCCACCACCACCACCAAATAATACAACGAGACAGCTACTGGCTGAGCCTAAGCCCTGTCAAAGATACAGAGAAAGACGTATGTTACCTGTAGTGTGGAGCAGGGTCAGGAATCAGAAAACCCTCCATGCAGATAAGAGACAAACCGCAGCTCAAGATAGTGGAAGGCATTTCTCAAAAACTTGACTGAGGAGAAGAGTTCAGGAGGAAGGAAGGCATTTCTGGGGATTCGAGGAGAAGCTGGAAGGAAGGATTTATGGAGTGGGTAGGACACAGTGGTGGGGAGGATTCTGAGAGGCAGAGCAGATGGCACTCTCAGTGGGACAGGCAAAAGGTGGTCCCAAGCTCAAATGCCTTCAGAGCCAGAGAGTCATGAAAATGAGCATGGGAGGCATCAGGGAGAGAGTGGTGAGGACTGCGTTGAACTGGATATCCCTGGCCCAACAAAGGGCCCAGCCACCAACCCCCAGCTGGTTTCTGTCCAAGGGTGCCAGGTTCTAGCTGGGCTATGGAGGCTCAGATGTCTTTCTTTTCAAAAGAGATCAGCAAGCTGCTGCCTTTTTTTTTTTTTTTAAATTTCCCAATTTCTAGAAGGCAAGGGGGAACAAATAGAGCCTGTTATCCCACAGACCCCACTTGCACAGCCTCTGCTCTGAGAAATAAAGAAGTATACAGTTGGAGAAGGGGTCAAGAAGCCTAGGCAAGGCCTGACTGGTGACCAGCACTGGTCTCTCAAGAAAGAGGTGGTTTGGGTGACTGAGAGATCAAGGGTAAGGAACCACGAGGGGACACACAGAGGAAAGAGAAGACCAATAACCAAGCAACTCCTGTGCTTGCTTTGAGTCAGGAAGTGACAGGACAGCCCAGTGGACGGTCTGCAAACACCAAGATCACAATCTCCTGATGAGGAGGCCCAGGAATCTGTGTTTACAGATGTTCCCACAGGCGATTCTTACCACCAGGAAAAGGTGGGGAGACTCAGGTTTAGATATTAATTAATGTTGTTCTAAAAGGGTAGGCAGCAGGAAAGAAAGAACTCCAGGGAGTGGGGGGGGGATCCTTACCTATAAAGATACCAGAGATCGTAATTACTAGATGTGGGGGAAGATGCTAGAAGGGAATGAACCAAAAGGTACAGCCAAGGTCACCAGCCTCAGGAACCAAACTGATAAAATGACACCTGGAAGGGCAGAGTGGGTGGGATGGGGGGAGCCACTGGGCTGCTGGGATGAAGCCGGGAAAAGTGGCCACTGCTGTTATATGCAGGTATACCTTGGTTTGCACAAAAATCCAGATTCATGAAAACAGACTGAAGGTCAGAGTCTACTTTATAAGAGAACTCTTCACACAAGCAGTCATTGTGGGGTCCCTCTAAAGGAATGGTTCTCTGGGGGCAGGCCGCCATTATCTAGGACCTGGAAGGTGGTGTAATGCCCCCACGGAGACTGATTAGTTGATGGTGACAGAGATGATAAGAGAACCCATATCACTGAGTCGTTAAGATTAAATGAGTTCTACGCAGAAACAGTTCAAAAGAGTGCCAGGCAGATAGTTTAGTGCTATTAGTATTATGTAAGCATTAGGTACTGTACTATTATTAATCAAATGCCTCCTCTCTCCTGCTCACCAATTCGATAAGGAAAAGCCTGCATTTCTGGGATGGTTGGGAAGGAAGGAGGTAGTCTGTACTGGAAGGATGATCCCACCCCTGGGTTCTCCATATTGTTATCCCACAGGCTGAGACACCTTTCTAGCCACACATCTACCAACAGTCACGCCACATAACCTACGTCTGATCCAAATCTTTTTATATCTGTATACCTTTCTATATCTGTATATTCTATATTTATATATCTGTATAGAATATAGAAATATGTTCTATAATTCTATATCTGTATATTCTTCAGAGACCACCTCTGAGAGAAGGGAACTAAATAGGTAATCTGAGACAGAATTT